GGAATCGCACCTGGGTCGACCGCGTGCAAGGCAAACGTCCTGCCCGCTGTGCTATCGCTCCAGTCCTAAAAGGACCCAACCAAGCTGAATTGAGGGGCCAGACAGAGAGACCAAGGATGGTGGGACAAGGGCGTTTGTAGGGTGGTTCTGAGTATCGCAGGTTGAGGTGGGCGGAAGGAACAGGCCCCTGAAGGTAGGGTCGTAGGGAATCCAAGGTCCTGGGTAAGACCCAAGGTCAGAGTGCGAGGCATGGGGCAGCTCGTTGGGAGGCCTTCGGTCGATAGCTCTGACCTTTCTTCTGGTGGGCAGTTGCTACAAACTTTGAAGCCAGGAATGACATCATGGCACTGGGGGAGTCTGGAGACAGAGAAACCAGTTTGGAGGCGACGGAACAATCTCTGGAGATAAGGTTGGGGTGTGGGAGTGGGAAAGCCAGGGAGGGCTTGAGGGACTCCGGAAGCATCCACAGGGCTGGCCACAGGTTGGATGGAGACTGAGGGTGGAGGGAGGGAAGGTTCTGGGAACGAGCAAGAGGAGATAGGACGACAGGTGTTCCCTGTGCAGGGAAGGTCTTTGTGAGTGGAGCACGAGGCTCACAGGCCAGCAGGGGTGGGGGACTCTGAGTTGATCCTCTTGTGAGGACGGAGGCGGTTCTGAGATAAGCAGGTATCACAGACCCAAGCTGAGAAGCAGCTCCTGCCTCACCCAGCCTGGGAGAGGGAAGGACCCAAGGTTCAGGGCAGCTCCAGGATCCAAGGCTCAGGGCTGATTTGCTGCTACGTGGAGGGATGTAGAGTATTGTGTTGAGTCACTCTAGAAAGAGGAACAGTCAGAATGATCGGGCTTCAGCAGGAGGCTTGCCATGGGGCGGGGGTGGGGGTAAGCTAGGGAAGGGTTTGGGGCTGGGGAGATAGGATAGCAGGGAGGGCGTTGGCTTTGCACGCGGCCGACCCAGGTTTGATCTCTGCCATCCCATATGGTACCCCGAGCACCACCGGGAGTAGTACCTGAGTGGAGAGCCAGAAATTATTCCTGAGCATCGCCGGTATGACCCACTCACCCCAAAAAATGTTAGGGGAGGTAACATTAGGACAATGGAGGAAGGGAAAGAAAGGTTAAGGCACCTGGCATAGGGGTGAGCTGAGTGCGGGAGGGAAACAGAAGACGCTGGTAGAAGGTAGTGGATACTGGTGAAGGGATTGGTGTGGAAACATTATATGCCTGAAACTCTACCACAAATATCTTTGTAACTTGGTAATTACATGGTGATTCAATAAAAACAAATAAAAAACCCTCGGGGCAGAATCTCAAGAGTAAGCATACCTAAAGGAACAGAATACTCTCCAACTTCAAGGCCAATTTCTGTATCTGCAAAATGGAGAAGGTTTAAGATTCTTCTTGAGGATCTCAGGAGTCTTAAATGACAACCATTACCTGTGGAGTGTGTTTATATGTGAAAGGCATTGTGTTAAGAACTTTAACTGGGGGCTAGAGCAATAGCACAGTGGGTAGGGCATTTGCCTTGCATGCGGCCAACCCAGGTTGAATTTCCAGCATCCCATATGGTCCCCTGAGCACCGCCAGGAGTAATTCCTGAATGCAGAGCCAGGAGTAACCCCTGTCTGTGCATCACCGGGTGTGACCCAAAAAGCAAAAAAAAAAAAAAAAGAACTTTAACTGTATTTTTCTATTAAATCCTTGAATGCTAAAGAAAAAAAATGTAAATGATGGAGAATGGGCACTGGTGGAGGAATGGGTACTGGATCATTATATAACTGAAACCCAAGCACAAAAATTTGTAAGTCTCCAACTGTACCTCATGGTGTTTCACTAATAAAAATTTAAAAAAAAATCCAGGACCCAGTGGGCTGGAGAGTGTGCCTTATCCTGTGGCAAACGGGGCTCCATCCTTGTTCTTGTCACTGTCGGGAGTGAGCCCTGAGCAACAAGCCAGAGATAGCCTCTGAAGACTGCTTGTTGTGGCCCTCGAACCAACCAAAACCTCACCTGTGATGGCTTTTGGCAATATGCAATTGGCTCACTTTTCCCAGTCTGGGCTGGCCAAGGTTCTTGGGTTCCATGGGACCATCCCTCTCTCTCTCCATCTTTTAGGTTCATTTTGCTTTGGGGACATACCTGGCAGAGCTCAGGTCTTACTCTTGGCTCTGCACTCAGGGATCACTCCTGGCAGGCTTGGGAACCCTCTTAGGTGCTGGGAATTGAACCTGGGTTGACTGCGTGCAAGGCAAACGCCTTGCCCACTGTACTATCGCTCCGGCCCTCCCTACCTATCTTGCCTCTCCTCGGGGTCCTTAGGGAGGTGGTTCAGTCCTTGAGATGTCCCAGTGCAGAAATTTCACGCCTCCTTCGGGGCCTGGGGAGAAAGGACCCGATTCCTCCACTGCATTTTAATCGAAGGGAATCTACGTCCAAATCTAACCGGAAGGCACTCCCTAGGGTGTGGCTAATGCACGTGGTCTGTGGAAGGACAGAGGAGGGCAGGGGAGCCCTCGTCTCTCCAGCGTGTGGCCCCATTCCCTGGGAGGGAGGGAGGGAGGCCGGTTTGCCAGTTAGGGTAGAGGTGGGAGCCAGGCACTCTGAAGCTTGGTGCCAAATCGTGGGCCAGCAGGAAACGGCCTCCAGGGTGTCCAGGTTCGGGTGTCGTGTCCCAAGCATGGCTGCTTTTGAGGACAGAGAATCCAGGTCCCTTCTGAGAGTTGAGTGGCATGTCCCCGGAGACTTTTGCCACAGAGAGGGGATGCTCGGTGGACCACACAGCCTCACTCATATGCGAAGCCCCAGTCCACGTCCTTGATTCAGGCGCTGCTGTGGCAAGGCCTGGGGTCAGTGTTCTTAGCCCACCCCCTGTCGCTCTGGAGGTCTGGTGGCAGTCCTGGGCAGGGAGGGGCTCCCTCTTTGTATTACTCTGTGAAATGGCCAATGTCTTTCTCAACCACCCATGCTTCTGCCTTTCATTTTCCAGTTCTCAAAGCCGAGCTAAGAAGAACATTTCTGTGGCGGGCATCCCTGATTCTCAGGGCCCATTTGCTCGTGTGGTGACCCTGGCCCTGAACCGTGCAGGCCTTGCTGCCCGTGTGAGGGCCTTCCAGGGAGGGCTGGCTATGAGCTCCTCGTGGCGTGTGGTGACACGACAGCAGCCCTGGGGTGCTGTCCCCGTGTCCCGAGCATGGCTGCTTTTGAGGGCAGAGAAGAGTCAGGAGAGTCCCGGCTTCCCGCTGCTGGCCCTCTGGGCAGAGGACTTTCTGCACAGGAAACCTGGGGTTCTACAATCTTCTGGAAGGACCCATGTCTGTTTAGCTGTGGCTTGCTTTCTCCCAGGCTGGCCCGAGTTTTCCCAGTGTGTGGGGAGTTCACTTAGAACGCCTCTTCCAATATGGATACCTTTTTTTTTTTTGAGGTGGGGGAGTTCAGGCATTGACCCTAAATCTCACGCATGCAAGAAAAGCTCTTTGCCTCTAAGTTGCATCCGCGATAAGGCCCCGGGTAACGGCTGCCTTTCACATGGATGGGCTCTGTTCTGTGCCAGGGACAATTCCCCAATTCTATACTTTCAAGAATACCAGTGGGATGTCCCTGTCTTTCCTATAAATCTTTCTTCTTCAAGGCAACTGCAGATTTTCTCTTTTTTGGGGGGGGTGTCTGGGGCCACATGTATGGTTGCCCTCCATCATGGAGCTGGGGAGCAACTTGGGCTTGGCTGTGTGCCAGGCAAGCCCCGCATTTGCTCCCTGGCCCTGATTGAAATTTTGACTTGCATTTTACCCTTCCAAAAGCGGTCCCTTTCTTCACTGTTCTGTTTTGTTTTGTGGACACACCCGGGGAGCTGGAGTTGGTGGTGGTGGTGGGGGGGGGGGGGGGGAAACCACACGATGCCAGGGATCGAATCCAGGGTTCCTGCATGCAAAGCATGTGGCCCAGGCTTCAGAGCCATTTCTCCGCCCCACACCCTTAAAACAAGTAAGTCAAAAACACACAAAACGTTGAGGCTCGCTCCCCGCACGCACGCGCCAGCAACTGTTGCACAGCACGCAACTGTTGCGTTTAACAGCCGTCTGCGTGGGATGGGCGCGGGTCCGGGCTGCGCTCGCCGTCCCGCTCCGACCAGCGCCCGGAGCTCTGACTTGCGTCCAGCGGGAGCACCGCGCCGCGGGGAGGGCCCGCGGCACCTCCGCCCTGCAGCCTTCTCGCCGGCTCCGGGGGACCGGGTCCCCGCCCCGCGCGGCCGCCGGGAGGGTGGGCGCTGTGCCCGGGGTCACGGGCGCAGCCTCTCGGGCTCCCCGTCACCTGCTCGGGCGCTCGGGAGGGCGCCCGGAACATTCCAAGCCACCCACGGGCCGGGTCGGGGTGGGCGAGGGCGCGTCGGGCCGCGTCTCCCTGCGGAGAGGGAGCGGGGGCACTGCTGGACGGTGCCCAGGGGCTGCGCTGCTCCCAGTCCCGCGGCGGCCGGGCACTTCTGGGCACGGTGCGCGCCCGGCGGCCCAGCCGCCTCCTGGCCTGACCAAATATGGGCACAAGCGCTCGGCCGCCTCGCGTGGACAGGCCGCACCCGGGGGGCAGGGGCGCGCGGGCCCGCGCCCCCGGCCCTTCCCTCGCCGGCCCCCCCGCGCCCGCCGGCCCGGGTTTCGGTCCGCAGCGCCCGGATGGAACAGGCTCGAGCCTCTCTCCCTTTGATCCCGCCCCAAGTCCGCGGTAAACGCAAAGGAATGCAGAGCCCGGGCTCCGCGGGAGAGGTCCGCGCCCCCGGGACGGGCGGGTGGGGGCGCGGTGCCCGGCCGGCCCCGGGGGCGAGGGGAGAGGAGGAGCGGGAGGAGGGGGAGAGGAGGAGGAGGAGGAGGAGGAAGAGGAGCGGGAGGAGCAGGAGGAGGAGGAGGGGGAGGGCGGAGGGAGGGGGCCGGGGGCAGGGCAGGAGGGACGGGAGGGGGGGAGGAGGGGAGGAGGAAGAGGAGGGGCGAGCGGGCCCGGCCGGCCTGGGCCGGGGCGGTCCTGCATAATTGGGCATCTGGGCCGCCGGGCCCGCCCCGTCCCGGGAGTGGGAGTTTGCGCCCGACTTTGTTTATGGGACAGTCCGGGAGCCGCGGCCGCCGCGCTCGTCGCCTGCGTCTCGTCCTGGGTCCCCGCGCGAGCGCCGGACGCGGGCCCGGGGGCATGTGAGAGGCCGAGCCCCTCGGCTGCCAGGCACCCCTCGGCGTCGGGCGCGGCCCCCGGGCGCGGCCCCCCCAGCCCCGCCGGCCGCCCGCGGCCTCCGCGCGCCCCCGCAGCGCCAGCCCGGCCCGACGTCCTCGTCCCGCGGCGCCCGGCCCCGGCCCGGTCCCGCCGCGCGCCCAGGTAGAGGGTCCGGCTGGACACCCGGCGGGGGTGCGGGCGGGGGTGGGGGCTTGGAAAGCGGCGCCCTCGGCCACCGGGCAGCTCGGTGTGCAGTCAGTGGCCCGTGCGCCCCTTCCTCCTCCTCCTGCTCCTGCTCCTGCTCCTGCTCCTCCTGCTCCTGCTCCTCCTGCTCCTCCTCCTCCTCCTCCTCCTCCTCCTCCCCCCCCTCCTCCCCCTCCTCCCCGCCCATCTCTTTCTCCCGGTAACTTCGCCGCTTCTAGAAAGTTGCATAATTCTCCGGACGAGGAGCGACGGTCCTCGTGGGCTGGCCGAGCCGCGGCGCCCGTCGGCGCACCCCTGTCCGGCGCGCTCCCGGGCCCCGGCGCGCCCACCGCGCTCCCGCCCGCCGCCCACCCGAGGCCCACCCGCTCGCCCCTTCTCTCCCCCACCCCTGCAGAAGATGAATCCCGCCTCGGCCCCGCCGCCGCCGCCGCCGCCGCCCGGGCAGCAGGTGATCCACGTCACGCAGGACCTGGACACGGACCTGGAGGCGCTGTTCAACTCGGTCATGAACCCCAAGCCCAGCTCGTGGCGGAAGAAGATCCTGCCCGAGTCCTTCTTCCAGGAGCCCGACTCGGGCTCGCACTCGCGCCAGTCCAGCACCGACTCGTCCGGCGGCGGCCCGGGCCCGCGGCTGGCCGGCCCGGGCGCGCAGCACGTCCGCTCGCACTCGTCGCCCGCGTCGCTGCAGCTGGGCCCCGGCGCGGGCGCGGCGGGCAGCCCCGCGCAGCAGCACGCGCACCTCCGCCAGCAGTCCTACGACGTGACCGACGAGCTGCCGCTGCCCCCCGGCTGGGAGATGACCTTCACGACCACCGGGCAGCGGTACTTCCTCAAGTAAGCGCGCCCGAGCCGGGGCGGGGGCCGCCTTCCCGGCCCGGAGGTCTGGGAGGAGGCAGGGCCGAGCCCGGGTGCCGGCGGGGCGGCTCCAGTCGGGTCCGCTCCAGTTCTGGCTGCACCCGGGAACCTGACGCGGGGAAAGCTCGGGGGCGCTTGGCGTGGGCGTTGGGGGACCGCAGAAGTGACTTTCCCGAGCCGGGGCGAAGGTTTGGGGGCGGCTGTCGTGGGTGGTCGGAGAATCTTCAGTGGCTCGGGCAGGGTGGGTACGCGCGCGCGCGCTCTGCCTCCCTGGACACCGTCCCCAGACCCCGCGGCGTCGAGGGCCAGGAAACAGCAGGGTTCCGGCAGGTTGAGACTCGGGGGCCCTCGAGGGACCCTGGGGAGGTCCAGTGGTCGCCGCGTAAGAGCGCAGCCTGCCGTGTTGGCCGGGGCACCCAGCCGGTGACGTAATGAGCTCACAGACACTGATGTAATGCGCTGCTGTGTGCAGGAGTTGCCCAGGGCCGGGCACATCAATGGTGTGGAAATGGGGTCAGGAGTCTTGTTATGTCACACTTGGTAGCCTAAAATACCATCAAGTCAGGAGCCTGCCCGTCATTCTTTCCCCCACCCCGCGCCGCCTTTGATATCATTCGGTTTTGTCTGTTGTGTCGGGGATCAAACCCCGGGCCTTGCGTCTACAGAGCAAATTTTCACCGCTGGGCTATGTCTCTTGCCCCTTACACTTGATTTAGACTGGACAGCAGACTAGACCCGCAGATGTAAGGAGATTGTTCCACTATCCACTGTGTTGTGATCCAGGAGGAGGATGCAGTTATATAGTTATTGGGGGAGGAAGGAGGGAGGGGGGGGGAGAGAGAGAGAGAGAGAGTGTTACGGTCAATGACTTTTTTTAGGGAGGGGAGAAAGGGAAGAAACACCTGGCAGTGCTTGGGGCTTACTCCTGGCTCTGTGCTCAGGGATCATTCCTGGTGGTGTTCAGGGAAATTTACGCAGTGCAGGGATCCAACTGGGTTGACTGTGTACAAGGCAAGCACCTTATCGTACTCTGGCTAGCTCCCTGGCCCCCAGGGCACTTCAGGGGTCAGTACTTCCTGCACTGGCTTGAAGATCAAGGTCCCTAAGGGATAAGTTTTCTAAGAAGTTGCCTTACGATTCTTTTCAAGCCTTTGATAGAAGAGCCTTTGAAAGGACTGGAACCAGCTTTGTTGAACAGTTATATTGAGGGCGGGAGAGTTTTCAAGTGCTGTGCTTAGACGAGGCCTGAGTTCCATCTCTGGCACCAGCGGGTCCCCTGAGCACCACCGGATGTGTTCCAAAACAGAAACAAAAGCAAGTGATCTTCAGATGTTAAGCACTATTGGTAATGTCCAGGCGACCCTTGCTCGGGGAAACCTCTGACGCAGTTCTCATTGGTGGAGATTGGGTGAAGATCATTGGCGCGTGCTGGACCAGTGCTTCCCTTCTCGTCCCAAGGCTGTTGGCATCAGGTGTGAGAAGGGTTTCTTTCTTTTGCTTCTCGGTTGGTGCAGTGCTGAGCTGTGCTTGTCTGGAAATGGGCTGGTGGGTCCTTTTATATCACATCTACCCTGGTCTTGGTTAGGGAAGGGTGCTTGAGCTCAGTGCTTTGACTTCTGAATGGTCAGTGGGACGTAGGTATGAGATGTCATAACGTGATGTTTTTCTAAAAGGTGATATTGTCTTAAAGGATGACGTTAGTTTCTAGGTTGCATTAATGTCACAAAATAACATCTTATATTTAGGTAAATGCAGAAACATTTTTTTTTCTTTTTGGGTCACATCTGGTGATGCACAGGGCTTACTCCTGGCTCTACACTCAGGAATAACCCCTGGTGGTGCTCAGGGGACCGTATGGGATGCTGGGAATCGAACCCGGGTCAACTTCGTGCAAGGCAAATGCCCTACCCGTTGTGCTGTTGCTCCAGCCCCTGTGTTTTTTGTTTTTTTGTTTCTTTTTTGAGTGCAGAGGATTCAATCCAAGGCCTCACACATGTTGTCAGCTTCCTATCCAGCCTGAAAATGCATTTTTTTTTTAAAGAAACAGAACATACTACATGTTTTTATTTATATCAAGTTCAAGAACAGGAAAAGTTCAACACTGTAATATATCAAAATAATGAAAATGCAGTTTTGAATATGAAATAGAAATAGACATAGGAAGGCGGGGGTGTAGCTCAGTGGTTACACCTGCCTTGGATGTGTGAAGTCTTGGTTTATCTTGGCACCAGGGGAAAAAAAATGTAATGATAAAATACAGAAAAAGCCCCACTACGTTTGTGATCATTTAAAGGAAGAGAGGAATCTCCACTGATGTCTAATGCTTTTTTTCTTTTTGGATCACACCCAGGCGATGCTTGGGTTACTCCTGGCTCTGCACTCGGGAATTACTCCTGGCGGTGCTCGGGGGAATGTGGGATGCTGGGATTGAACCCGGGGCAGCTGCTACAAGGCAAATGCCCTCCCTGCTGTGCTATCACTCTGGACCCTGATGTCTAATGCTTAAAAAAATAATAAGGGGGGTGGCAGGGATGAAAACCTGTGCTTTATACGAGCAAGGCATGTATCACCAAGTACATCATAACCCCCTCGAAGCCCCTTGAATTTTTCCCTGTTTGGGGGGGGCGCACCCAGTAGGGTTCAGGGATTACTCCTGAATCAGTACTTAGGGGTCACTCCTGGCAGTGCTCAGGGACTGTGCACGCGAGAGGTGGAACCACGCATTTGTGCCATCTCCACAGCTCCAGTGAATTTAAGGCCATGTTTACGAACAGACACACACACTTAGGCGATATATGATCAAACTGGCCGTGGTTATTAAAACTATGAAACAAGAGCTGGGCTTGGCTCATCTGTAAGGAAGGCTTGGGAAAGAATCTCTCCTCCCCGCAAATGAAAACAAAACAAAACATTTCTTTCATACACATGTTTTGGATGATTGGGGTAGGTCAGAAGTCTGCCAAGGAAACAATGGAAGCTGAGATGGGAGTCGGCCTGGATTGGAGAGAAAGTTGGCTCTCTTTCTCCCTGCCCATCCCCCCAACCCCAGCCGCTCCCCAACCAAAGCAGAAGCTTCTTCGTGTCACTGGGCTGGCCAGGGATGCCAACAGCTGAGCACATACATGGGGAATTAGTAAGCTAGCCCGAGCAGAGATTAGCCCGGGATCCTTCTTGGCCCAGTGGCGAAGGAAATTTAAGAAATCAAGTCATTGCGACTATTGTCTCACTGGACAAGCAATGTGCCAAGTTCTCTGAGTTTCTTCTGGAGCTTTCTGTAAAGCTGGAATAAGGTTCTTCTCATTGGTCACAGTTGATCACGCAGCCTCAAAAGGCAGTGCGTGTGGGTGTGGTAAACAGAAGCTTGAAACAAAGAAGCCCTCTCACCCGAGTTCATTTTCATGAAGTGTGCCAATTCTTTGCACCCTGTTCTGTGGAGGGGCAAACCCCTAGAATTCAAAAATACCCCCCTCCTCTTATTTATTTGATGTTGGGGTGGTGTTTGAACTCAGCGGAGCTCAGGGTTTAATCCTGGTTCTGTGCTCAGGGAATCACACCTGGGGGTGTTCAGGGGACTCTGTGGTACCAGGGATGGAACTGGGTTCGTCACATGCAAGGCAAACACCCCAAGTCCCTGTATTTTCTCACCTCCCCATTTTTTGGGGGGCCCACACAGGCGACCCTCAGGATTTACTCCTGGTTCTGCACTCAGGGACTTCTGGTGGGCCCGGGGAACCATGTAGTGGTCGGGGGGATGTCGACCTTGGGTCAACCTCTTTTTTTTGCCTTTTCTTTTTTTAATGTGGGAGTACTGCTATTTATTTTGCCACTGATAAGCTGATTGAATTGGATTTTTTTTTGCTTTTTGGGTCACACCTGGCGATGCTCAGGGGTTATTCCTGGCTCTGCACTCAGAAATTATTCCTATCAGTGCTTGGGGAACCATATGGGATGCCGGAGAGCGAACCCGGGTCGGCCGTGTGCAAGGCAAATGCCCTACCCGCTGTGCTATCTCCAGCCCCAGCCTCCCCTTCTTGATTGTGGGCCCAGGGCTTTGTGAATGAGTAACCGAGTCTCCGAGGATGGGCACGGGCTCAGTTTCCTTCAGGCTGGGGCCGAGGGGATGGTCAGTAATTTCTCCGTGAACCATAGACGGTTCTCCCACGGTGGCCATTCACTGCGGGAGCTGTTTGTCTGTCCCTTCTGCCACCTTTCCCTCTCTCAGTCACTACCCGAGCAGAACGATGAGCTTGGTGGGAGACAAGAGCCCGGCTGGCTCCGCTTGCAAGAGTTTCTGTCCTGTTCCCGGGTGAGCTTGTTGGCAGGTAGGTGACATCATTGCTGACTGGTACCTGGTGAAGGGCACCTTCCGTGAGTCCTCGCCCCTTTCCTGTGGGCACACATTCCTTTCGGGCCCCATGGAGCTGCCGACGGGATCAGGCGTTGGAGTACGTCGCCTGGCTGCGGCTTCCTGTGCCCGCTTGCCCGCAAAGCTCATAAACGCGGCTGGGCACGGAGGTCCCGGACACGTGGCCACGGCCACGCTGGCTCTGAACACGGATCGCAGTAGTGTTTTTTTTTTAATAAAAAACACTCTGGTTATAAACGAAGCAGGCATTTAGTGTAAACACAGCAAGCCATTGAGAAGACATGACTCAGCTTTAGCAGAATCGCTCACCTTCCTGATTTTTCTGAGTTCTTTTTGTGGTGGTTTTGGTGGGTGTCAGTTGCCTGGTTGCCGCTCAGTATTGACTCCTGACTCTGCTCTGGACTCGCTCCTGGTGGTGCTCAGAGAGCCGCGTGCCCTGCTGGTGGTCAACCCTGGGTCTCCTGGCCCCCATGTAAGCGTTTGCTTTGACTGTTGATCTACCTCTCCAGCCCCCTCTACAGACTTTTTATTTAACTTTATTTATTTTGGGGGCCACTCCCAGACATTCTCAGGGCATACTCCCAGCTCTGTGCTCAAGGATCACTCTTGGAAG